TTATGATCCCCTGGGTAACTTAACCCTAGTGGGCATGTACCTCTCTCCGGAGAGAGGGTAAGAAATTACTAGTGTATGATAACCCCCCTGTGATGGGTATTTTTTTCCTAGTGAATTTTTACCCCCTCCAGAGAGAGGGTATTTTTCCCCTAGTGGATTATTACCCCCCCTAGAGGGGGTAAAGTTACCCTAGGAAAATATTACCCCCCACCCTACATGAGTATGATATCCCTAGGGAATTATTACCCTCCCCTTAGGCAAGGTACTTTCCTCCTAGTGAAATAGTACCCTGGGTAAGGGGGTATAGGTTCACGCTGACACCGGTTCGGGTATCCTGTTCGGGTATCCGGTTGTAACCGGCTGCAGAAACGAGTAGCGTATGGTGGATGCGCGCGACCGGGCCCTCGCGGTCTGGACGCACGGGCGCACCATCGGTACTCTGGCAATCTGCCTGCGAAAATCCGAACCACGCCGTGGCCGGGAGTCGAACCCGGTGCCCTGGCTGGCGCGCGCGCCGCGGAGCATGAAGCAGCCCATTATCGAGTCCATCGCACGAATCGTTGCGCGCGCGGCCCGCCCGAGCGAGGCACGGCGGAGCACGGCGAAGGCGAAGCAGTGTGTGGGGAAGGAGAGCCAGGCGGCGGATTGCCGCATTGCCCCGCATTGCCCCGCATTGCCGCATCCGGATTCACAAAGGCGGGAAATCTCGGCGCCGCAACCGCTTGTCAGTGTCGCGGGGCGACGGCGTGGCGGCAGCGCGGCAACGCCTCGGCCCTACAATGGCGGCACGGCCACGCGACACGCACGCGCTCCATCGCCCGCCGTCTTCCTTGCACCTCTAAGGGACGCCCCATGAGTGCGAGAGAGACCGCCGCCGACGGCCTGCCAGGACAATGACGCACTCCACGTGCTTCGCGGCGTGCCGCGTGCTGCAGGATGTGGGGCCGACGCCGCCGCGGCCACCGCGCCCCGCGTCATCGCTTTCTCGGTTGCCCCCAACGCGTCCGGGGTGGCTGGGCTGGGCCGGGCCAGGCGCTAGCTGTCAGCGCGGCCAGCACTGCGCATATGCAATGCAAAGGCCTGGTTATCTCGTTGACGCGCCAGACACACGAGCAGACACACGAGTCGACACTTCTTTCTGGCGGCTTCATTCTGCGGCGCCGTGTCGCCGCCTTTCCCTTCCCTCTCGCCACCACACTGCGCAGTGAGTGAGACAGACGACCACTTGGTTCGGGCGATGTAACGACGACGCTACTGAGCGAGAAGTGTTGTTGTTGTGACTCGGTCCGGTCGGCTGGCCCTGCCGGCGCGAGGCGCGAGGAGGCGCGACCGAGTGCTTTTGTGTGACTGTCTGTCTGTCGCGCCGAGTGCCGCGTCGCCGAGTCCTCACTTCCCACATCAAGAGTCCTTCGGCTCGGCCTCCAGGAGGCGAATTAACAAGAGGAAGACGACGCCGACGAACAACTCCTCGAGTCCACTTCAGAGACCCTGCCAAACATTGAAAGATTTTTACCAGGCCAGGAAATAGACACTTTCACCAGAACGCCGAGTGAAGAACAAGAGGAAGAAATGGTACCGGAACCAGTTCCCATAAACGTCTTATTTATAGGTTTTGACGGTTTAAAATCATAAAACTCGTCTGTATCTAATTTTAAACAATTTTTAGAACCCAAATGAACACATAATATGAGCAAAGAAGCGACTTTTATGGACTTTTTCCGGCTTTTGTTATTTTTCTTGTTCTTCACTCGGCGCTCTGGTGGAAGTGTCTATTGACACCTAACCCAAACCCCTAGATAGCTGCCTGGAAGGCAGGCAAAGACCCGCACACTTTGCCTCCGTAAATAAACAAAAATTCATTCGTGCCTCTCCCTTAGGCCGGCTCTGGATTCTGGTCTCCTAGCTCGAGGGATTTGAGCCCGAACTAACGAGCCAGCGACACCGGCAACAACAACAATTAAGTAAAAACTAGAAACGAGGAAAAAGCGGGCAAGGCGTGCGTCCTCGCCGATTCCCTGACCTGGATGCCGGCTGGCGTGACACGGCGTGACACGGCGTGACTTGGGCGTGACGCGTCGGCCCGCCTCGAATCAGGAGCGTGACCTCTCACGTTTCGTTGCCGCGATCGCCGCGGGTGGATCGGCTCGGCCAGTCTGCAGTCGGCATGATAATGGCGTCTCGAGGTAGGAATGAGCGTCCATGACGCTCTCTGCGTTCTCACAGTGTGGCCGCGGCAGGACGAGGCAGGCCGCGGGTCGCGGAGCACAGGGAGACTCAGGCAGAGCCACACCGTGCAAAAACGTCTTTTAATGCTGCTCACAGTGGGCCAGAAGACTGGTGGAGGCGGCCAAAACTCTAGACGCGTTTTGAGCTTCAGCGACGCTAAATGGGACTCGAATCGAACGTGTGACCCCACCAATGGATTGCTCTCCGAACGAGGAATCCATTGGTGGGGTCACACGTTCGGTTCGAGCCCTGTTTAGCGACTTTGCCGCTCAAAACGCGTCTAGAGTTTGGCCGCCTCCACCGGTCTTCTGGCCCACTGTGCTGCTGTCTAGCAGCCGCCTTGGCTGCCGCTCGCTCGAGATGACTATCTCGCAGACACCCACACCCACGCACTCGACTCGCTTGGCTCCGCTTGGCTCACGTACCACGTGTTTCTTTTGCTGTTGTTTTTCACCGTGATTTTCATCCGGTTGTCCTTAAAATTGGATGAAGGGCAACAGTTGACCCGACTGGGCGCTGAAGGCTGAGCCTGAAGGTCGCCCGGCACCGCCCTGCCGCCGAGGCGGCGCTGAGGCCGGCCGGTACGGATCCCTGGAAAGCTCACGCCCACACTGGCACGCCAAGGCGCGAGCCAAGGCGCGATCGGCAGACTAAACACGCCAGGTATCTGGACAGAGCCGAGCCGAGCCGAGCGGGACCCAGCCGGGCCGTGCTGAGACGGCCGAGCCGAGCCGGGGCAGCGCCGTGAGAAACGCCCCGCCCCGCCCCGCCGCACTGCACTGCTATTCATATTTAGGGTGATGCAGGCAGGCGGTGCCGGACGCGGCGGACGCGGCGCGGCACTGCTTGGCAGTGTGTTGTTGCATCACGCCGATCCGATCTGCTCCACCTTGTAGCAATTATCGTGGCCATTGTTGCCCCGCCCGCGCGCGCACGCCACGCCACGCCACGCCACGCCGTGCCACGCCACGATCGGTGACGTCAGATGACGTCGAATGGCAGCAGCGTGTATTCCGCTTCCCTGCTACCAAAACAAGCCCGTGCGAATGTTAATTGTTCCCGTAGGTTGACTCCGGACAGTCGCCCCGTCTCTCTCCCACCTCTGCGGCGCGCCGCATGGGTGCGAGAGAGACAGAGAGCTGCTGGAGGCGCGTCGTGTGGCCCGCGGCCAGCGGCGTGCCTTGCGAGAGGAGAAGCTGAATGGGATACGCGTCGTCGGACTGCTATTTGCGTGCCCCGCGCCCCACGACACACAATGTGCTGGGCGGTCTCGGTCTTGCGCAACCTCGGGGACGCGGCGACGCCCAGCGCGCTCCGCCGCCAGCCCGGCCGGCCTGACTTAATTCAGTCGGCCGACTTGACACGAGAGTCGCTTCAAGTGGCCCTACCTCGCAAACTACACACTGCACGAGAAAACGAGAAATCCGTCCGACAAGCAGCAGGGGCGTCCCACCCCAATTAGTGCGGCCCGTGTGTCGAAGAAGCAGCGGGGCAGCGACAAAGGCGAGGGATCCCCGTCGGCCGGCTCGGCCCGGCCGCGGCGTTCCCACGGTGGGAGGAAACGCGAGGAGCCCGGCAGCGGGCTGCGCACGAACAGCGCTCTGTCTCTCTCGCACTCACGGCGGGTTGCGACCGGCGCGAGAGAGACAGAGCGACGACGTGCTGTGCGGAACCGACCTGCGGGCTGCGGGGCTGCGGGCTGCGGGCTAACCCGGCCGACGCCCCGCCCATTATATCAAGAGGTAAAGTGGGTGTTACGCGAATCACCGGAGTAGAGGGGCCGGGCCAAGCACGGCCGCGCGCCTTTGCGCCTTTCGACAGACTTTGCTCATTTTACGACGGCCAAGCCGCGAAGCGCGTTGAGGCTGGGCCGCGGGCCGCGGGGCCGCCGCCGACCTGGTCCCGGTGCTCCCCCTGAGTGCCTCGGGGCTGGCGGGCAGTCGCCGGCGTCGGTTCCGCCCATCAGTCCGCCCTAGACTCGGTCGCCGTCGTCGTGCCTGGCCGTGCCGCCGCGCCGCGGGCTCTGGGGCGAGGGGTATCGCCGGACTCTGGTTCTACGCGCTGGACCACGAGGGGAAGTGCGTTATCCTCGCCGTCGTGCTGGCCCTACCGGCCGGCCAGGCCTGCCGGAAGCGATTTGCGGCGAGCACACGCGGTGGCGGCGCAGCTGGTGCTTTCTTGCGGCAAGGTCGACGCCGTTCCCTGTTACTTACTCCCCGCGGCCGCCACGCCACTGCCAAGGCATTCCGCGGCGTGCTCCCGTAACCCCGCGCCGGCCGCCGCCACGCCCTCCGCGCCGTCGTCGCCGCCCTGCAGGCCTCCACCGAGACCCCGGTGGCCGCGGACACCCGGTGGAGGCGCCGCCGAGGAGTTTCCCGCGTCCCGGAGACGTCAACGCGCGAGGCGCACGAGGAGGCCGGCGGACTCGTGTAACCGGGACCTCGGCGTCGAGCCGCGGCTGTAACCGCCCGGCCGGGCCGCGCGCCGAGGTTGCAGATACCATCCGACAAGTACCGGCCGGGCACTGTAAAACTGCGACGGCCACAGAGAAAGCAGCCGCGACCGCGGTTCGTCGCTCTGTCTCTCTCGCACTCGTGCGGGAAGCCCCTCTGGTGCGACAGAGACAGGGCGACTCCAAGTCGTTCGGCAGGAGGAAAGCGACGCGACATGCGAGGCGCCCGGGAGGTAGGCCATCGGCAACCCATCGCAGCGCACGCTTCCCGCGCACAACTTTGTCGCCCCCACTGGAATAACCGTAAAAGAAATGGACTCACCCGAGCTTGTTGCTGTCGGTGTGCTCCGTCCGGGTGGGTTGTTGTTGATGGGGATCTCCGTCGTGAAGACGGTGGCAAAACCGCATCTGCGTGGTCTTTGCACTTCACCAGCTAGTGGTCACACCGGGTCACACACCCGCGGTGACACTCACACAAATATTTACACAAAAATAATATGTACACAGGAAAAATAAACTTAATCCTTTTAGTCCACAGCCAGTATACGCGGACGAATTGAATTGTGTCTTGTTTGTTTTGGCCCGTTCGAGATCCAATGAAAGTAAAAGTAGTCGAGTATAAATATGTACAACGCGCTTGTTGGGGGTCTTCAGCGTCATTCCGAAACAGCTTCCACTGCAGGCAGGCAATGAGAAATAATGGTGACACTTTTGAAATGAAAGGGTGAAACGAAGTGGGGGAATGACACGGTACCTGCGAGCTGGATGGCGAACATGGTGGCGAAGCCCGCAGTGACGGCGAGGAGCTGCTTGATGCCGGCGTGCCTGGAGGCTCGCTGCGGCTCCAGCACCTCGAAGAACACGACGTACAGCAGCGTGCCCGCCGCCACGCCCTGCATCAGCGTCGCCGTCACGCCCGCCGCCACGCCCTCCCTGCCGACCAGAACAACGACAATAACAAAAACACATTTTGGCGCAGCGCGCAGCTGCGTCGCTACTCCGCGGCCCTGCAGCGGCTGGGTTCAGTGCGCCGCTACCCCGCGTCGCAGAGACTCCGCGCCAGATGGGTGGCCTGCCCTCCCGGCGCAGCGTGGTGCAGCCTGGCGGCTCGGACTCACCCCGCCGTGGCCGCCATGCCCAGCGCGATGCCGAGCGCGCTCATGAAGGAGAAGGCCCCCACGTAGGCCCACACGAAGGAGGCCTTGCTGCCCATGCCCACGAGCTGCACGCCCACGCAGAACGAGATGACGAACTTGTGCGAGGCCACGGCGACGAACAGCGCCCACACCCGGGCGGGCGAGCGCTCCAGGCCGACGGCGAGGCCCTCCAGGAGCTCGTGCACGGACAGCCCCAGGACGACGAGCAGGCCGCGCGCCGCCGTGCCGAGCTGGCCCTTGCCGTCGACGACCGCCGCCACCGGGACGTGGGAGTGGCCGTGGCCGTGGCTGTGGCCGTGGTGGTGGCCTGCGGGGCAAGGTGGAAACAGTTTCGGCATTTGCACCACTCTTGGCTGACGACGCGGAAGCCTGGTGCACTGCACAGTGGGCCAGGAGACCAGTGGAGACGGTCAAAGTTCCCGACGCGTTTTGAGCTGCAGAGTCGCTAAATTGGACTCGAATCGAACGTGTGACCCCACCAATGGATTCCTCGTTCGGAGAGCAATCCATTGGTGGGGTCACACGTTCGATTCGAGTCCCATTTAGCTACTCTGGTGCTCAAAACGTCTCTTCTGGCCCACTGTGCACTGGTACCGCTGGTACGTACCCGCCTCGGCGCTGGCCTCGGCGGCGTGCGCCTTGTGCAGGTGCCGGTGCACCAGCTCCTCCACGAGGTACAGCGTCAGGAAGCCGGCCACCAGCAGCAGCTCGGCGGCGGGGACGCGCGTCTCGGGCAGCGCGCCGGACCGCTGCAGCGACAGCAGCTGCAGGCGCACCTCGGGCAGCAGCTGCACCAGCGTGGTGCACAGCAGCACGCCGCCGCCGCCGCACAGCAGCAGCGACAGGGTCACGCTGTCCGTCGGGGGCGCCGACTGCTCCTCGCCCTGCACAAGGCGCACAAGGCCGAGAGGAGGATGAACCACGCAGCAGTGGCGGCTGACGAGCAGGGGTCTATGGCTGACGTCCTCACCTCGGTCTGCTTGACCACCTCGCCGTCGGTCGACCATTGCATCCACTTGGCGAGCTTGATGGGCAGCAGGCCGACCATCATGGACACGACGCCCAGCACCACCATGCCGGTCACCTTGGCCACCAGCAGCGCCGTGCCCGAGGCCGTGCCCGCGCCGACGGGGCCGTCCAAGGCCTCGAGGACGCCGTCGACCAGCAGCCCCGTCGCGTTGGATGCTGCCATGGCGGAAGCGCTGCAAACAAGACGAATTGCTTGGCTGGGATTTTGCATTCCCTCGTGGGGGGAGGGAAGGCCCTGCGAGCCTGGGCGTCGTTCTGTCTCCCTCGCGCCCCTACGACTTGCCCCGCGAGTGCGAGAGAGAGCGACGACTGTCGCTCCGCTGGGCGGGCTGGGGCGGGCGGCGCTAATGAAAGACCCTGATCGCCATGGACCGGCAGCCATGCCGCCAGCCATGCGTCACAGGCCCTACAAGGCCTGGTGGCGGCAGGCAGCGAGGATGTTCGAAAATGCTTCAAAATTCCTTGAAAATTCCTGAGGGCTGCGCAGAAGAACCGTAAAACTGGATTGCTACCTGCACTGCACCCTAATGGGCTAACGACGAGGAGCGCCGCGGCGCCCCGCCCAGGCCATGCCGGCCTTGATGCCGGCAAATCGATCTAATAAATGTCTTGGCGCCGCCGCATCGCGAGAGCGGGGACGCCTTTTCCCGGAAAGCAGCCCGCACTGCTTATTACTGTTAGTCTCGAGCCGGGCCTGCCTGCCTGCCTGCCTGCCTGCCCCGCCACGGACGGACCGCCAATCCTACTGACTGTTACAACCGTAAGTGCTGTTACATGCGCATGCCTTGAACGCCACACCGCGACCGCATCATGCAGTGCCTCAGCAAGTGCCCCTTTCCCCTCCGCCCCCCTCAACATCATCCTCCTGGCTGATGGCGACGGCGTGGTCGACGCCGACCGGGTGCTTCGAGTCCCTCGGGTTCGGAGACGCACTCTCAGTTCCCGTCCCACGCCCTTGCCGCCGGCGTTTACATAGCCTACGTGCTGCACACTTGAAAATGCGCGCGCGCCGCTGGGCGTGACAGGCAAGCCCGCAGAGTCGGTGTCCGTGAACGCGCGTGAGCGAACGCGCTGCAGTGGCGCTGCACTCGTCTCCGGTTATTGGATTCGTGTTGCCGGTCTTGTCAGTCTCACAGTGGCAGTGCAGTGCGGTCGCACTCCACGCGGCGGTGCAGAGAGGCGCCTCTCTCGGCAGCGCGATGTGACGTCATGCGGAGGTGCAGTGGGCCTTCCTGGACCAATCCGCTGCCGACTGCCGCCCCAACAGAGCGTTGCCCTCCACCACTCACGACTAGTGCTGCTCGGGGTGATAAGACCAACACGAGCGACGCGCCCGTTTCGTTTTTCAAGCACCACAATCACACACACAGACACTTTCACGCACACACGCGCTCACACACACACACGCACACACACACACACACACAGCTTAGGCCCTCCGACGCCCGTATCGCACAACAATGCACTTCGAGAACGTGCTGGCTGGGTCCAATAAGGTGATAACTGATACTGGAGGCACAGTTTGTGGCGACGTCGGTGTGATCTTGAACGCGGGATTCACCGTTTCCCCCTGGGACGCACGCACCGCTGGGGGCAAGCACTGAGAACCGCCTTTTGGGTCCATTTCCTTCGTCGCTGATGGAATCACCAAAGTCAGCGGGCACTCACAGTGGAGGGGAGTGCGTCCTGCGGGACGTGGAGCCGAAGTGCGGCTGCGATCACGGTTTGCGCGGATTGTCGCGGCGGAGCGGCGGACTTGAAAATGGTGCGAGAGGAACGGCGGCGCGACACTTTATAGACTAATAATTGGTGAAGCAAGAGAGTGAGTAGCGAGCAAGGCGACGCTGCCGCGCCGCGTGCCGCGTACCGGGCCGGCGAAGGTCCCTCTCTCTCGCACTCGTGCGGCGTCCTGAAGCGAGGGTGCGAGAGAGACAGGTCGGCGTGGACCCCCCGCTCGGAATCCACCTGCAGACCGCGTCGCGCTCCGCCATTGATGCCCCTCCACACCCCGTCTAGACGACCCCCTCCCCTCCGCCGCCCCCTCCCCCCACCCGGGAACGCAGCTTCCGCCCCGCGACGGCCCTGGACCTGCCCCCACCCCCGCGGTTTTCGCCGAGCATCAGGTGTTCGGAATCACCTTGTCGTCTGTGTCCATAGCGCAGCGCGGGTCGCGTCTGCGACTGAGATCGTAAAGTCGTTCTAAACACTTGAATGGATTACTCTTCAACAGTGGTAGCGAACGTCGAGTGCGAATCGAAGCCTCCGTCAAGGTAGGGACAGTTCGGGCTGGCCTGGCTTGGCCGACTTGGCCACTCCCAAGGTGAATGCCACGGACACCAATGGACGCCGTGGACCAGAGCGCGGCGCGCTGTGACACGGCGGGGCGGGGCGGGGCGGGGGCGAACGGCGACGTGCCCGGAACCGACGCCGCGGTGGCGCAGGACCCGCAGGACATGCTTGGGGGCGCACAGGAGCGCAGCTCGGCGCGAGCACGACTAACGTCACGCGGAAAAAGACGGGCCTTTGTCGAGGGCCGAGCACGCCGAACACGCCGAGCTCCTCGTCAGCCTCCCGAGTTTCTTGTTCGGCGGTAGGAAACGACGCGCCCAGTGTGTGTCGCGTGGCCAGCTTCCGCCCCTGCCGAAAGGGGGGGGGCAGGGGGCATCAAACCGCCGGCGTCGTTGAGAACATGAACGAGTATTAGTAATCAGGCCGGAGATCGGTGCGGCGGCCCGGTCTGCTGGTCGAGGGTCCGGTCCTACGAGGCTCGTTCTAAGGGTCAAGGTAAGCCGACTGACTGACTGACTGACTGATTGACCGGCCCGCTGGCAGCCGGCAGTAGGCGACGCTCCAGGCGGGCTGCCTACTGCACTGTTGATTGGAGACGCCCCCGCGATGTGGGTCAGGCCGGTATCATCCGCTGGGCCGCGCGGCGTCGCGGCGTCGCGGCGTCCGCGGCGTCTAGGCGGAAATGGCCAAGCCCGGCCAAGCCCGGCCAAGCCGCGAGGAGGCTTGTCCGCGGCTCAGCTGGCCGATTCCGAAGACTTGTTTCGTCGCTCTGTCTCTGTCGCACTTGTGGGCGTTCAGTAGGAGAGCGAGAGAGACAGAGCGACGAAGGGCCCGAGGGCCTCTGCACCGTGGCCGAACCCGGACGGCTAACTAACGGCCGGGCCGCGCCGCCGTGAGGAGGGCCCTTGGAGGGCCCCAGTCCAGCGCGTCAAACTGGACGCACCACACCGCCTCGCCCGGCGTCGCCAGGTCACTGGGTCAACGAGTACCTACGCACGTCGGGGTACTATAGGTCCCTCCCGGCTAAGGTTGCGCCGCTAGAGCCTACCTCGCCTAACTCAAGCTTGTGTCAAGTTTGCGCCAACTTTTCATTTTCACTTTCATCGCGGCCGAATGCATACCTGCCCCCCGCGCGAACCAGTTTTTCGCGTACACTGTCGAAATTCGGCGGAGCCTTCTTTCTCGTCGTCGCGGACACTGCCGGACGGGCCGCCCCTGTTGTGGTGCCAACTGCGTCGGCTACTACACTGAGTCCGAGAGTGGTTTTCGTCGCCCCGTCTCTCTCGCACCTACACGGGACGCCCCATGAGAGCGAGAGAGACGGGGCGACGATAGGGACTCTCGGAATCAGTCTGCAGTCGGCGTGCGTGACGTCGTGGTGTGGCTCCAGTGGCGACAACACGCTGCTGTTTGTTCTCGATGCCGACACCACTGCGTCACGCTTCGCGTTATCAGCCCTGCCCTGTCGCCTGCACTGCGAGGGCGAGCGAGAGGGATGAGCGCCGGCACCCCACACCGTCACAAACACAGTGTGCTGGCCTGTCACCGAGGCAAAAGTTGATGACGGCATGGTGCGTCCGGTACGTGCCCAGGACGACAGAGATTCAGAGAATCGCTTCCGTCGCCCTATCTCTCTCGCACTCTCCGCGCTTCTTGATCCCTCTGCGGACTTGACTCCACTTTGGGCGTCCAAGGAGCGGATCGGGAGCCAATCACGGGCAGTGCGGGGGCTGGGGGGCAAGGCTGCGGGCCTCGAAACCAATTCATACCCACGCGGCTCACTCACGGCTTGTATAACTCGGCCATTTTCTCTTTTCCCGGTGGAGCGCTGGGCGGACGGGGCGAACACACAAAGCGACGCGTCACAGCGTCATTCTCGCCTTCGGCGGCCGATGGCAGCCAGCGGGGCTGCCGCCGTGGAGGCCAAGAAGTGCCTCAACAGGAAGAGCGCGGCGGTGCGCGCGTTTCACGGCGTCGTTTTCCAGACACAATGCACATGCCGCCACGCGCCGCGCCTTCTATAAAGGTGGCGGTCTTCACGTCGCCGCGTAGCGTCGCCGCGTAGCGCCGCGTAGCCGAGTGGCAGCCTCGACCTCGGCGTCGATGTCGTCCACCGCGTCCACCGCGCACCACTTTTGTGCGCCGAGCGCGCGGACCGCGAACTGCGCGACTGCACACGCTGAGCAGCTCGGGGGCCCCGAGGGGCGTGGAGGGCGTGGAGGGCGTGGAGGGCGGTCGGGGAAGCTCCTCCGTCCCAGGAGCCCCCGCACTGCCCTGCCCTGCCCAGCGGCCCGGCGGCCCAGGGCCCTTCCACCGCGGCCTTTGGACCCTCCACGATGATGTCAGCTCCTGTCTAACCTGCCGGTCCTCGCTGCTCACGCGTCCACCACACCGCGCCGATCTTCAGTTCGGATGCACACTACACTGACGTTGCCGCGGTCAGGTCTGTATGCCATGGCCCCTTGCGCCGTGGAGCCAGGCCAGGCCACCAGGCCGGCAGGCCGTCAGCTTCCCCCGCTGTGGCCTCGGCGGACGGCCCGGCTACGCGGCTACGCCCGGCCCACCAGCCTCTCTCTCTCCCTCCCTCTCGGACCTCTCGGACCTCTCGGACCTCTCGGCGGCTCAATTCCCAGGCGCTCGCGCGCTCGGCATCTGGACCGGACGAGGCCGACACGAGCGTCAGGACGGCCAGGACGAAGACGAAGGGTCTGGCGCGACCGGCCACGCGTCCCGGTGCCCTCGTCCAAGGGCGCGCCTCGCTAGGTCACGTCAAGCTCATTGATGCGGGGACGAACGCGCTGGTAGTCAACTATTTCTGGGTTTAAACTTTCCACACTTTGAGCCGCTTTTAGCAGTGCACTGAGTCCGCCGCCGCCGGGCTGGCGCCGAACTGCTCGCCAGGGAAGTCCAGCGTCCGAAAAAGTTGCGTTCGTTCGCTGGACCTGCAGGCTCATTCCGAGAGTCGTCGTTCTGTCTCTCTCGCACCCACGGGGCGTCCCGTAGAGGAGCGAGTGAGACAGAGCGACGCAAACGACCCTCGTAATCCGTTTGTTGTTCCGGACGCGGAACCTGCAGACCGGTACCGCCCAAAAGTGCGCGCCTGTCTCCCGGAATTTGAAAACGCGGGCTCCCCGCCCATTACCTTTAATTGAGACACTTCCCCATGGAATGCCCTGCTGACGTGAAAGAGGGGCGTTTGCCAATCTCTGGGATGAGGAATTTACCTGAAACCCGAAATCATCTCCCTCGCGTATCAGGGACAGGGAAGAGCGGAACAAGGGGGACGGACGGACGCAGGGAATGTCGCTCACAATGGAGTTGGGAGGGATATGGAGGAAATTCCCTCTCAAGAGGATCTGACGATGGAAGGATGTTCTAGTTTTCGGAAAATGTTTGAAAACTCCAACTTATCTGAACAGAGTGTAGTTGAATTTGAACTTCGATTCGTTTGGTTTTTGTCGCAAGGTTGGCGAACCTGCTTTCTGTCAATAATCAAGGGGAAGGGAGGAGGGGTCAGGGAAGGCGGATTGTCTGAAACAGTTAAATCTCATTTATGTCCTTTTGATCATTCTATTTTGCGTGCTGCCCTCCTTCAAACGTAATAGCGACTTTATGGATTTTAAAATATTTTCTCTCATCAAATCCTTTTGATTCCACGTCGCAAAAAGCTGATGAATCTTGCTGCTGTTGACGCTCAAGCAGCCCCATGCTTCTGCTACGGATGGTTTGCCGATTAGTCCCCCAGTGAATTCCAAGCAAGAATCGACCACCGAAACGATGACGAACGAAGAGCCAAATCCCCCTGGCTTGACACAGGCAGAAGCTGATCCTAAATATGCTTTTAAAGGTGCGGTGAACTTTCATTGGTAAACGCATTCAAAGTTGAAGAATGAATGAAGGTTATGTTTCCCTGTAGGTCCTTCCTCAACGAGAGAGGACGGTATAAACAGTGGATTTTCCTCCTCTAGTCGACCCAACAGAGTAGTTAGAAAAGTTTTTTTTAACACCCTGTCTCCATCAGTGCTTTGATTCTTTTGAAATTTGATTCTTCTCTCTCATATTCTGTGCAACAATGTATCGATATTGTAGTAATTTGTTTGATTTCATTGCAGCGTCAGCATTCTTGGCCGGAGTGGCTGGAGTGTCTGCTTTGTTTGGTTTTGGTGCGACCTTATCTTACGTTAAGAAGAAAGATCCTACATTTTTCGACAAAGGTGTTGCGATGGGTCCTACATTAGCAGAAAGTGGTGCCGCTCTAGCAACTCGTGCCCTTGGTTGGGGAACACTTTATGCAGTAGGAGGGTGCAGCATTCTATTTTTATCATTATGGAAATTATCAGGATGTAATAATGTAAGTCTATTGCGCAATTTCAGCAAAAAACTGTTACTGTATTTACAGTATTTTAATGGTCTTTCATTCTTCTACAGCTGCAAGAATTTCGGATGAAAATGGGTAATAATCTTCCAAAGATCCGTAAAAATGACCCTCCTCAGAGTAGAACCGAGTTTGAAGGCCTTAGTGATTTAATGAGATATTTGGAAACCTGGGGTTCTGAGGAAAAGCAAGAGAAAGCATCCTCACCCTTAATTGTAGAAGCAAAATCTTCATCATCCTCAAGTTAAAATACTGACTTTGCCAATAGATCAGAAGTGCTTTCCAAAAATTTGAGCTCAAAAGATTGTTTTTACTCATTTCTTTCTTTCTTTCTTTTTTCAAACGTTTCAAATGTGTTCAGCATAGTGGTTAGTTTCCCAACAAGTTTCTTCAAATTTTCAGTAGTAATGTGTATTTGAAGTAGTATGTGCCAGTGCAGCAAGATTTCTAATCTGTGTAACTGCTGTCTCAGTAAGGGATCAAATATAAATCATGTTGGTTTGTATTCTTGATACTTTTTACTTGTTACCTAACTTTTTGCCAATGAAATTGTAAGACGATCTTTTCAAAATTGATTGCACGTTTATCGATTGGATGAGTTTCTTTTGTGCTATTAAAATAAAGTACTCTAGTTAAATATTTACTACTGCATCTTGGTTTTGATAGTAGGCAAATAACAGTAACTAAGAAGATTTTTAACAAAACACCATAATCTTTATTTTCTTTAAATACATTTTGTATTTACATATGGTAACAATTAAGGTCTTAGTTATAGAGCATGTTGGAGGTCTGTGATCTAAGACTGATATTGCGCAAAAGGCAGAGATCACTGATGGTGAATTTTCGCCCAACACTACTTTGTACATCATATAATCTTACAATCAGGTCAGTAGAAAAATGTTCAGGAAGAGCACGTATTAAACTTGGGATCTGAAAATGTTATAAGAAAGGTCAGTTTCATGCTTCTTGAAAAATGTCATTAGATTAAATAGTAACAACAATATTTACCAGAGTATTGGGCATGTTACGGAGTACTGCTAAAGCATGTTCTTTGCCAGAGAACACGATGAGTTGAATGAATCTCAGAACAAAATGAGTTTGTTGTGAGACCTCTCCATCACGGACTACTATCACATTGAGTGTTTGGAAAAGCTTGCTTAAAGCAGAAGCAAGAGGATCTTTAATAATCTTACTATTTTCATTTTCTGAATCATTAAACACTATTGAAGGAACTGATTGTGATCCGTCACCATTGCTGTTTCCTAGTCTCATAAGTTTGCATGCCGGCACTAGCAAGTCAAGATCCTAAAATGAAAAATAAGATTATTTCATGGTTATTGTTTACCCAAGAATTTTATGATGTTATAAAATTGAAATTAGATGTAAAAAAAAAAAACTTCAAGACAAACCTCATAATCTTCAGGTCGATTTCGTTTTCGAGGGTTAGGAAGAGTGAAAGGATCAACATTATCCAGATTCGCAAAAGCAAACACACAATAGGCACTCAGTTTGGCAAGTGCGGATGCTTGCGGCTCTACCAATTCATCACTCCTAGACATCAAAGTTACAAAATAATGTCAAATTCAAACACCAGTAACATTCTAACTCAGAAAAAGATAATTAATAAATAAAAAATATAAACTTACAGTAATCTGTTGTGCAGATATTGAGGAAGAACATGCAATATTAGGGTGAGAGTACAATGCTCTAAATCCAGGTGGAAAATTGCAAATGCCAGATCCACAGCTCTGTCTAAATCTTCTTTATAACGATACTTTAGAACTTCCTAAAACAGAAAGAAGATAAGATATAAACTGGTTGATACTGTATCTTAGTATAAAATTTGAATTTGAAAAGAAAAATACATGGTGATGATCATACCTTTACTACATTTGTGACAAACCAATTGGCTCCACCTGAATTTAGCAAACCATCTAGTTGATGAGTAGCTTCATCTTGAATCCATCCTCCCTGATGGAGCTTGTTCCATATTGTTGTCAGTTGTTCACAAATTGGCTGGCAAGATACAATGCTGTAAAGAAAGTGTGTTAAAGGAATGTAACTTTTCACTTCAACATAATTTCAAAAATACTTTACCTGGTGCGAGAAAGATTTCTAGCTTTTGACTTTGGCTGAGCAATAGGAACATCATTCTGCATTTTACATATAATTCCTGCCATAAGTTGAGAGCGTTCTGTAAATTTACCATCCTGAGGACTTTCGGAAACACCAGAATTTGAGAGGAACTGTTGTACCATATTCATGGGTTTGAGTAACTCATCTTGAGGTAATATCTAAAATTGGCAAATATAGGTGCAAATAGTCAATGGAGGTAGGCATGTAAAGTTTAAATGAAAGGCAAAGTTCATAGTTTTAATTCATTACCTGCATATAACTGCAAAGCCAAGCAGTAGCACACACAGGTAAGCAGCACATCCTTGCTTTCATGGTGTCTAGAATGCGTTTCACATCATTTGCAGTTAAAGCTTCATGCTCCCACGCCACAAGAACTTCTTTGATTGCTAAAGGAATACTCCAACATACTTCATGCCACTTCACTTGACTGCATTTTTTTTTCAAATAGAGGGGGAGGGGAGGATAAAAGAAATGTTGCAATTATAAGTTGACAGGCACTAAAGCACAATGATAAAAATAAAGCCACTATTATTATGAATATGTACCTGATGGGAAAATCAGCATTACCAGAGTTTAACTGGGCAAGCAATTCACTAACACGATTTGAATTGAAGTGCTTCAGCATTTGGTCAGGAGATTTGGGCCGCCTTCTTTCAACCATACAGTCTCGAACCCATTGCTCAAAAAATGAATTGCCCCCTGAATGCATACCTTGCTCTGAAAGGACAACCTGCAAACAAGAAATTTTTTGATAACTTAACAAAAAAAACTAGAATTTAAAAATATTGAAAAAAAAAAAAGTGGGGAAAAGTGAAGTTTTACTTACATCTGATCCATACATTTGAACAATTAAGCACAACATCAAGAAGGTAATGTCAAAGAGAATTGCTCTTGTTTGTGCTGCTTTACCAACAACTCCTCCAACTTGTTTTGACATTTCATTGAAATTTATTAGCTTTGAAACAAAAGTGCGCAACTTTCCCTCAACAGTAGCAACAGCAAGGATCAGTTCAAAGCTTTGACCACTCAGAACTTGACCAAGGACATTTAACAGAGGCTCCTAAAAGAGGGAAAGAAAAACACAAATTGAGAATCTCCAACTAGAGAATGCACAAAGTATATGCTTGAGTGAGGAACCAAAATTTACTCACTTGAATCTCAATGTAATCAGCGTCTAATGCAATGAGTATTCGTTCTAATAATGGCTCAGCTTGAAGAACAACATCTGATAAAGGTAACTTCATTGAGCTGCTTTGTTCAGACTTCAGACCACTAGAAGAACTTGAAGCTTGCCTGCAAGGTAGAAGTAAAGACAATCAGAAATCACAGACAGGAATAAAAATCCAAACAAAATAATCAATAATGTAGTGTCTTAATACCTCATATTGCTATACTTTTTGCTGTGTTCCTCTTGAATCAAACCAACTTTCATGAGAGCTGCTAGGAGTGAGTCGACACAACTTGAGGGCCACTTGGCATCAATTATGTCAAGGAGGGGTGTGAATTGAAGAAGAAGTTCAAGTGCCTCAACTACATCTTGCGAGAACTCTCCTTGTCCCAAAGGTCCTGTAAAATGATTAAATGTCAATTTGTGTGCTCTGTGATGTGACATCAGTAAGTTAGGAAAAAAAACAAAAGAAAAATTATGAATGCTAGAAAGTAATATAGTTAGAGAAGAGAGGGCATAACCAGCAGAAACCTGCCTTTGCATGTTGTGTGCAGCTGAAGTAAAACTTGGGGCATTTTAATAAATGCAAAAGCTCCCCACTGTGGAGCTTGAGGCATTTCCAACACATTATTTACAACGTTATTTACAGTAATGAGACAAGCTCTCATGAGTTCACAGTATAACCTTGCGTTGGTTAAATTCTGAAATTGTAAAAGAAAAAACTTTGAAAAAAAATGCTTTGTTTTATAAGTAAACAATCACAAAAATTCTCAGGAGATATAAAATTACCTTAAGCCTTTGAATCATGCGTAGCTGACTGACAAATGCATATGTGTCAGCACAGGGATTTTGCATAACTTCGATTGCAAGAAGGGGCTGGAGACAGTCAGTCAGAGGTTCACAACCATCTCTTGTTGCGGCAAGTCCACTCACAACTTGGAAACTGGGCAAACATCTCCTGCCTAGGTCTAGGTCTAGCTTCTGAAGCTTGCTGTAGGACAAAAGGAAAGCAAAAGTTCGAAAATGAAAGTAATAATTGAATCAAAGACAGGAAGACATGTGATTTAAGCAAAAAATACCTTAGAACTTCCTGTAATTTAGAACCTGGAGAAAAGTTTGGGTTTTGTGATAACAATGCAAGAATTGCCTGACACTTTTTGCAGACCTCCATGTGCACATCTAGAAGCAAAAAAAGAGTCAGGATTAAAATTACCATGTCAAAACGCCCCCTTATGAAGAATGGGCGATAGGTCTAATAACATGTTCAAGAAGACGCACCTTGATCCTCATACTTTGCAAGATGCAGAATAGCCAACATAAAGTCGTCATTCACCATATTCCACAAAATATTGACAGGTAAATCATACAATTCAGAATGAGTGAGTGCAGAAGAATCTGCAGCAGTTGATGGAAGTGTGTCCAGGACATGCAGCAGGCACTGCAGGAGCCAATGCACTACGGCCATAAGTGCACTAGGAAGCATGCTCTCTTCTGGCTTTCCCCGACATGTAATGCCAGACTAAGAAACAGAATAAAGATTAATTTAAATCAGAGTAAAATAGAACTTCAATTACATATGACAAGAATTTAGGTCACACATTATATACCTGAATACTCTGAAGGAATTCAAGCAAGCTAATAGCACAGTGCGGCTTATGAAAATGCTCATATTTGCTTATCCTCTGGAGCACTGCTGCATAAGATACAAGCTGGAAAAGAGAAGACAAAATTTTAGTTTGGGTCTGCATCAAGGAAAATTTGATTTTGAGAGAGATGTGTACCTGAGAGCTGAGTGTATGCTTCAAATATGACAACACTAGTTGGTTAGGACCGGGTCCAACCAAAGCCTGCTGGAGGATACAATCCGCCAAGTTGTGAACGTCACCACTTACGCCTCGAGGCAAAATCTAAATAAGAACAGGTTACAAGAAGTTTCAGAAAACAGTCAGGACTAAGGACAGTCATAGGCTGAGGAAAAGCACTGCAGTAAGGTAACCTTACCATTTTGATGTGGATTCCCCATTGCAAATCCGACCACCGCTCACGCCAGGCTCGTAACAGCAATGCTTTCAAGCTGCTTGTTTTACTCGTCATCTTACAGCTAACCGTCGAAGGACCCAGAAGCAAGTTCCTCATACTTCATTCGACACCAAGTCTGGCTCATTTCAACCTGTAATTTCCAGAATAATAAAAACATAATTTATGTTTTTTAAATCGCAAAAGTTAATCTGCTTATAAATATAATTGAGTTTTTTTCCCCTAAAGAATGAGAAGTAACACTAAAATTAGAGGTTAGAGCATTAATCTTCTAGCGACCAATTTCACTGAAGGTTTTCGCCACCGAAAAGATGATTACAGTAAGATTAATAATACTAAACTCTGTCATTTCAAACAGGCAAAACCAATAGAAGAGGAACGGAACGCAAAATTTTGCTAGAGTGACACCGGTAAGCCGAAGTGTTTACGTTTACGAGTGAAAGCCAGGGGCGGACAAGAAGTGAGTCCACAGCGGAATGAAATCAATAAATACCAACGTGCCTCATGGTAAATGTGAGGGGATCAATCAAACAAACAGACCGACGCAGATTTTTCAGAACTTTGACTCAAATTTAATTCAAGTTTCTTGAATGTTTTGAACAACTCGACCCGTCAGTGTGTTGATGTCGGCCATGACAGGGCACACACTATTCACAGTCCACAACTGACTGCAAATAACACGGAGCGGATTTCGACACGCTGTTTTCGTCGTCACAAATCTTGATCAAATCTGGTTGCTAAAACTATGCACAACATAGTTGATTAAATTCATTCAGAGACAGGTGCAAAATGGGCCATTTCATCAAAACTTTGCTTACTGTCAATATTACGCAACGTAAATATTTACTGAAGAAAGTCGCCCCGTTATCTTGTTTACACACACGAGTCGCACGACAGTTGAACACGGATCAGCTGGTGAGCAGCAGAAGCAAAAGCAGGTGGGAAGCAAGTGCCTTTCGTTCATTTTCATTCTCATTTTGTTCATATTTGTGTATTACTGCTAACATTTTTCTTGCAGGAAGATGACCGAAAGTGACGTTATATTAGGATTGCAGGAGGTCCGGGACAAAATCAAAGCCGCCTGTTCGAAAAGACCACCGGTAAGGCTTGTCAAAATCTTAGGTTGTTAGGGTACACAATTTTATGATTTAATGCTTATTCTTGTGCCTCACCTTGTGAAATTTTGGTTATCAAAATCTCCATGCTCTAAGTTAGGGTTTTGATTATAATTTTCCATTCTTTGCGTAATGGACAACTTCAGGGCGCCAATGCTGCAGAGCCACGTCTCGTTGCTGTTAGCAAAACCAAGCCCAAAGAATTAATCATTGCAGCCTATAATGTGGGCCAGAGGCACTTTGGAGAAAACTATGTTCAAGAATTGGATGAAAAAAGCCATGACGCAGAGGTATGAATCCAACTAGTTACACTAAAACCAAATGTGTTAGCCATCGTCTAATCATTTTACGGCTGAAAATGCAGTCCTGGTAATTTTGCATACCCTAACTTTTTCTAATACTGATAATTTCTCGTTTTTCAGCTGCTAGATTTGTGTCCAGACATCTGCTGGAACTTGATTGGTCATTTACAACGCAACAAAGTGAACAAAGTTGTCCAAATGCCAAATTTGTTCATGGTGGAAACTGTCGACTCTGAGAAGCTGGCAACAGCCCTTAATAATGCATATGAGAAGTATCGGAAATCATCGGAAAGTCGTTTAAAAGTTATGATTCAAGTGAATACTAGTGGAGAGAAGGGTATGTGTGTGTGTGTGTGTATTTGCTAAATGTTAACTTTGTAGCTCTACTCTGTCATATGTTTCATTACTATTCTTTTCTTTTTTATTTTAAGAGAAAAGTGGCTGTTCACCTGAAGATGCGAGCTCCCTTGTTCAATATGTTAAAGATAAATGCCCTTGTTTGGAACTTGCTGGTCTCATGACAATTGGGCAGTATAATTTTGATTTGTCTACAGGACCAAATCCTGACTTTCTGGTTAGTACTCTATTAGGTGTTATACATACGTATAAGTTTGTGCTATCTGTATTGATAAAATAAAATCTATTTCCCTCTTCAGAGCCTTGTTGCATGTAGAAAAGAAGTGGCATCAAAATTAGGATTGGAAGAAAATAGCCTTGAACTGTCTATGGGAATGTCCACTGACTATGAGCATGCTGTAGGTCAAAATTTTTAATCTCAAATAAATATTACTTTTGATAATGGTTCCAGCACATTTTGATCTTACTTTACTCGAATTTATTTGTGTTTTGCAGATTGAACTGGGGAGCACTAATGTGCGAGTGGGAACCTCAATTTTTGGTGAAAGACAAAAGAAACAGTGAAAAAAAGATACAAAAAGAGAGGATCTAAAGGGAAAGGTCTGCTGATTGGTGTAACAGTTAAAGGGCTTCCAATTTAGTCTGTGTATTCAGAGAGAAAGATGATAGTTCAGAGAGAAAGATGATAGTGTAAGTTTTTAGTGGAATAAATGTTTGTGTTGAAGTCAGAATAAGTACAAATCAAATTTTAATGCAACATGTAATGTACTAATATATGTTGATCCTGTATTGATTTAAACATATGAAGTAAAGTTTACTCGTCTTTATTACCTTTATCTTCAAATGGAGAGCGTTGTACAGTTATGTTCTCTTAATTGAAACAAGTCATTGTGAAGATGATGGGCTTTCTTACATTCATAAATGTACCTAGTTAAACAAGAATAGAATTTGGCTTTCAACTGGACTCAGCTCTAATTTTGTATTTTTACAATCATTCATACAATGAATTGAAAGGGGGCTTACATACAGGTACTCATACACAGCCATACACACTTTCTCATGACCTCTCATTCTAAACTTCGCATTCATGTGCAACCTTCCTTCACTCGATGGTTACTCTGCAAATATTCAAATTTGACTGAGGCTTTGAGGTGGGCCGGGGATTACAGCTAATTTGACCCCAAACTAAACAAAAGTCACTAAACTCAAATTTTTGATAACCTAAAGTGTTTGCTTTGGAATGCACACCCCGCTCACGGCAGTGCTGTATGCTGTAGTTCTGATATGCTCAGTAATAGATTTCTCAGTTTTATTAAAAATAACAATCTGAAATGACATTTGTTTGAGTATCCTTAATTTAATTTAAAACAATTATCATTCATTGTCGTAAATACCGGTTGTATTTCATGTCGTATGAAAGCAAGTTCAGAAGGATTTCATCTACACACACAATATAACTAACAATTATACCATTTTAAAACATTAATTCTCACCTAAACACAAAAGAGGATGATTCAAAAATTTACTTCTACGTTTTCTGAGAATTACGGGTTTTAAATTATGTACACACTATAAAATTTTACTTTATACACACACTCACACATACTTTCTTCCAAAATATGTATTAGAATCTACTTATAATTACCAAGTCAAAATTTTGTTTGATTTTAAAAATTGATTGCCTTATTGCAGCATGGAATGCACCATATTATAAACGCCATTGGTGCAGTCATATGTTATTTACAATTTTGTATAAGTCTTCTGAGGTATGAGTTTGTAACGCTCCTTCCAATTTCGCTTACAAAAAAAACGTATATTACGTTTAGTACCAACATTTATTTCCCTACAAAAGAAAAAAATCCTGTCTACAGACTACATTTTCTCCTTGTAAACGGGTATGATAGTGCGGCATCGTTGTGCGTTCAACTGACCTAAAAACAAACGAAATAAACAAAAACGGAACCGACTCTACTGGGCATTCCCTTGCGTCCTGCTGGCACAGAGAAGCCTGCCCACTGTACACCCAGTTCAGACAGTCCTGTTGGCAGGTGAGCGGCGCTGCTGCGTTTTACAGTACAATTATCATGGAGAAAGGAGCGGAAAATGACGCTACACAAAATAAATGCATTCACGGATTTACAACACCATGCGTCACGAAGGGATCTTTCTCTCTTTTTCTGGGAAATGGCAATAAAAATTTCATTTAGTTTATAAAATCACACGTTTTGGATATGTAAACACTCTTTCACAGCATTGAGAAAGCAACCGAAAGGGAACTGGCACGATGGTACGACGTTTGCCCTCCAAGCGTGTTGCTCCGGCGCCACGAAACTTGCCTGGGCCTGTGCCGACGGGGCGGGGCGGGGCGGGGGTCTCTGCGAAGATGCTTTCACTTGGCAACGTCTCCGTCCGCCTCAACGGGGCGAGGACGAGACTGGCTGGACGGGATGGATGCTGCGAGGGCGGCGCAAGTCGCGAGTACCTTGGCCAAGTCTCGGGCCACTCCGCACCCTTTTCTCCTCACGGCGCCCCGAATACGGGGCGGCTCCGTTTGAAGCAGATTAGACCTCTGCGGAAGAAGACGGCGTGCGTCAAGACACTGAAAAAAAAATAAAAAAAATAAACGAGAGTTGCTGAGGTGCCCCGGGGCGGATTTCCCACCCCACCTTCGTTTCTTTTTCGGTCGAGCCGGTGGAGCCACTGCTCCAGGCAGGCACCTTTACACTGCACTTCCAGGAAAACGGCGCAGCGACGAGGAAAGGAAAGTTTGGCCTACTGGACGCGACTGCCGCAGTTGCACCAAGTTGGGTCGCCGTGTGTCCGTGTCCCCGCCCCTCATCCCCTTAACAGCGAGTTTACTCCAGTTCCCTTCCCGTCGCCTGGCGATCTTTCCTTTGTCTGCGACCCAGCCAACGAACATGTAACGCCTGTCCACCAACACAGCATCGCGAGAAACACAACGCAGTGAAACCCAACATAAATGGTAACTTAAAAAACAATCGTTGTTGCTACAGCAGCTACACCCCTCCTCTTTATTTACACACATATGTACAAACGGACTAACACGAAAGTTACAGTACGTACAATTAATTGAAATATACACAGCCGCTCTTCGAGAGGCTGCTTGGGGGCCTGCCGTTCTTTTATTGAGTCTCTGCACAGCCCTCGGCTTGCACACACACACAGTCATACACAGTCTGACACACACAGACAGGGCTGGACGCTAGACGCCGGCCTCCTCGTGGAGGGCGGTGCCTTGCAGACTGAAGGGCGACGCCGACCGGCCCGACGACGGCGACGGCGTGACGCCGGGCGCGACGGAGAGGCCGACGCCGAGGCTGGAGCCGCTGGAGCCGGGCGGCAGCGTGGATCCCGGCGCCACGAGGTGCGCGGCCGGCGCCAGCTGGAACTCGGAGCTCACGTTGGAGTGCGTGCCGCCGTCGTGGCGCGCGAAGCCGTCCAGCGCGCTCCGCGACCGGCCCAGCGACGCCGCGCCGTCCGCACCGTTCTGGCCTGCGGGGAGGAAACGGAGAGAGGGTTACACTCGCGCCAAGAAAGCTAACAAGGTGCTTTAATAATACAAAGAGTTTTGTGCCAACATATGATGAAGGCATTTTTTCCCCCGCAGTGGGCCCGAAGACCGACGGCGGCGGCGGCCTCAACTCTAGACGCGTTTTGAGCTCCAGAGTCGCTAAATGTGACTCGAACCGAGCGTGTGACCCAAGTGTGACCCAAGTGTGACCCCACCAATGGATTCCTCGTTCCGAGAGCAATCCATTAGTCGGGTCACACGTTCGGTTCGAGCCCCGTTCAGCGACTCTGGCGCTCAAAACGCGTCCGGGATTTTGACCGCCTCCGTCGGTCCTCTGGTCCACTGTGCGTTCTCGCCGCTTAACTCGTCGCGACGCTGTAAGCTTGGGGGGCCTTCCCCGGTCAGGCGCACGCGGCGCCGCACATGCCATTAATTGCTCCTGGCCGATAGGGCGAGGCGGCGGGGCAGCCTCGCAGCGTGACTTCCATTCCCCGCCGTCATTTTTCATCAGAAAGCGATCGGCAGCCGCTGCGGCCCTGTAGCCATGCTGTAGCCATGCTGTAGCCATGCTGTAGCCATGCTCGCCCTGCCGCGGCCGGCCGTGGCCCTCACGCCCCGTAGGGCCCAGGGCGTGCCGACGTACGCCGGCTAACGCGCGGCCCGCCGCTTTTACTCGTTTTTACTCAGCGCGCACACACACCTCTCGAATTATTGATGGAACCCGGGAGTGCCGCGGGCATGTGTGTGTAGCGAACAGGGCCCCGTCCACCCCGTCGCCGTCAGCGCGCGTACCGCGTCGCGTACCGCGTCGCGTACCGCCCTGCCAGCGCGGTGCGCAGCGTTTAGCGTAGCGCCCGTCGAGTCCAGGGTAGGCAGGCCCGCTCGGCACGCCGACGGTCAGGCGGCCTACGCCGCGGCCGTCAGGCGCTAAGCGGCACGGCAAGCCAGCAGACTGATTCCGAGAGCCGTTTTCGTCGCTGTCTCTCTCGCACTCAAAGCGCGACCCGTATTGGTGCGAGAGAGACAGCGCGACGGAAGTCAGGCTCGGACTGGCCAGGGCAGACAGGCAGAAAAATCTGCCGGGGCCTTTCGGGTTTGGGACCAGTAACGTCACAAAGTTGGTCAAAGAGTCGAAGTGACGAAAGTAGCCGTTTTCGCTGATTTTGGGCGGCCACTGCGTCCGATCTAATTGCGGCCAACGGCCTCCCTCGACTTCCTAGTATTCTTAAGACCCTACTCTTTCATGCCCTGTATCGGGAAGACGTTGACCACAACGTTTTTGGCTTTGACCGCAACGATTTTCGGACCAAGTTGGTCAAAAAGTGGTCGAATCTCGGAAATTTGCTGATTTTGCTGACTTTGGGCGGCCACTGTGTCCAATCTAGTTGCCGTAAAAGGCTTCCCTCGACGCCCTGGTATTCTTAAGACCCTCCTCTTTCATGCCCTGTGTCGGGAAGACGTTGACCACAACGATTTTGGCTTTGACCGCAACGATTTTCGGACCAAGTTGGTCAAAAAGTGGTCGAATCTCGGAAATTTGCTGATTTTGCTGACTTTGGGCGGCCACTGTGTCCAATCTAGTTGCCGTAAAAGGCTTCCCTCGACGCCCTGGTATTCTTAAGACCCTCCTCTTTCATGCCCTGTGTCGGGAAGACGTTGACCACAACGATTTTGGCTTTGACCGCAACGATTTTCGGACCAAGTTGGTCAAAAAGTGGTCGAATCTCGGAAATTTGCTGATTTTGCTGACTTTGGGCGGCCACTGTGTCCAATCTAGTTGCCGTAAAAGGCTTCCCTCGACGCCCTGGTATTCTTAAGACCCTCCTCTTTCATGCCCTGTGTCGGGAAGACGTTGACCACAACGATTTTGGCTTTGACCGCAACGATTTTCGGACCAAGTTGGTCAAAAAGTGGTCGAATCTCGGAAATTTGCTGATTTTGCTGACTTTGGGCGGCCACTGCGTCCAATCTAGTTGCCGTAAAATGCTCCCCTCGACGCCTTAGTATTCTTAAGACCCTACTCTTTCGTGCCCTGTATCGGGAAGGCTATTGACCGCAACTAGTTTGGGAGCGGTAGCCTCACAAAGTTGGTCATGAAGGGTAAAAACATAATGATGATCGGGGGCCTTTTGCGGTCTTATCCGCTGGGGCCTTTTGGGGGCCAGTCCGAGCCTGACGGAAGTGACTCTCGGAATCAGTGTGCAGGCGACCTGGCGGAGGTAGCGTCCTCGACCCACTCCTGTCCTGCCACTGTCTCTGGACTTCCTGGCGCGTTGGCGTGGCTGCGGCGGCCTGCCCTGTCCGTGTCCACGGCCTTGGTGGACCGGGGCGGGCCGGGGGCTGCGGTGGGCCGGACCGAGGTGGGCGTGGCGTGGCACAATGGAGCCGTCGTGGTGGCCCATGCGCCCATGCCCGGGACCGTCCGGACCGGTCCGCGACCCCGGCGTTCCGGAAGGGGATTTATTGTGCCTCTGGTGGCAACCCTACCCTGCCCCGCCCTGCCGCCGTGACCGGCAGCACAACGTCAACATGGCGCGCCGCCCTCGCCGACATCACAGTGTGCCGGACAAAGCAGGACAGCGGGCCACTTTTACAGTGTCGGAGACAGCAACGCGGAGTGTCGATTCATCGCTCCGCTTCGAGAGTGCGACGGAGACGGCCTTACCAGTGCAGAGCCCCGGCCGGTCCGGCCAGCCCTTCCTCCGGAAGCCCAGCTTGGCGCCCACGGCCGCGGCGGCGCCCGCGGCGCAGCGACGCGAGCAGCAACAGCAGCACGCCTGCAGCGTCTTCTTGAAGGCGGCGCGGAACTCGCGGTTGAAGTAGGCGTAGATGAGCGGGTTGAGCGCCGAGTTGAAGTAGCCGATCCAGAAGACGATGGCCACCACCACGGACGGGCACGTGCACACGTGCGCGCCGCACAGCGCCGTGATGATGTACCTGCAACACGGAAACGGCGAGCTAAAGTCGTTTGCGTCGCTCTGTCTGTCTCTCTCGCATGAGTGGGGTGTAGGTGCGAGAGAGACAGACTGCAGTGGGGTGGCCTTGGCTAGGGCTGCCGTCCCCGGTGGGCAGTCCGGACAGTCCGGGGCGGACGCCGCACCTTGTCCGCCACCGCGGCGCTGTCACGTTAACGGACGCGTTTCCCGTCACGCCGCGCGCCGTGCGCATCAAGCCCTGCCGCGCTGTCCCCGCCGCCGTCCTCTAAAATTGATGTCGCCCAGGCAGGGCGCATCATCGCTCCGCGCGGCGCGGCACGGCGCGAGGTGAGCACGCGGCGCTCACGACCCCCTGGAGGACCACAACAAGAAACGAGATGGCTGCCCGCGGCGACGGCTCGGCTCGGCTCGGCCCGGCCGGGCCGCCGGGCCAGCAGCGGGGCGTGGTCGTCATCACCTGCGGCGCGGCCCTGCTCGGCTCGTCAGCGCCGTGCTTTCTTTTTCGAGGTCGCCGCGCGAAACGCAGTGCAACGCGGTGGCGCAAAGTGGACCCGAAGGCCGAGCCGAAGGCCGAGCCGAAGGCCGTCACCTGTTGGCCGCCTTTCCACGACGCGTGGCACCGACGACGCGTGTGCGGCGGTGGCAACCGTATGTCGGTGAGGCGGGGCCAGGCGGGCGTCGAATAGGGGTGCCCCCCGTCCAGCCCCGAGGCGACTGCAGTCCCGGATGACGGCGACTAGACGGGTCCCGTGTCAGCCAGAAAGAGAGGACGCACACTGCCATTGCATTCCGGGGCCGTGGCTGAGGCCGTGGCTGTGGCCGGGACCGCGGCTGCCCACGGTATGGTCTGGCGGTGCGGTCGAGGCCGAGGCCCGGCGAGGCCTGCTGGTACAGAGGACCGGGCTGGACCAGGCCGGCGAGCGCTGGAGTGGGGGTAGCGCCAGGCAGCGCCATAGCGCCATGCCCAATAATGAAATTCCCCTCCGACTCTGTTTTAATAGCGTAAATTGGAGCCGGGCTGGCCGCGCTCCCCTCCGCCGCCTTGCTGCGCAGTAATGACCTCACAACACAGTCGCAATAATCATCATCATAATAATCGCAAGTCACCGCCCTTTTAATTGTCGCCGGGAAGCTGGTCGGAAATCGCCTTACCGCCGTCCAGTGCTTCCTCTCCTGGCGGTGCAGCTGGGGCAGGTGGGTCAGGGGGCGGGGCGGGGCCTTCTTGGGGCTCGGGCCGCTCCTCGTACTCGAGGGCCCATTCCCCATTCCGATGGCCGAGGTATAACTACACTGCCAGAAGCAGACTGATTTCGATTCACCCCGTCTCCCTCGCACTCACGAGGAGCCCCGCAGGGGTGCGAGAGAGACTGGTCGGAATCAGTCTGCAGTCTGCCCCATTGACGCGACCCTTCTAAGGACCCCGGGGCCGGGTGCCCAGTCCGCCCCAGCTTGACACTCCAAGGGAAGAAGCTGACAAGTCCCTTCCTAGTGCAGCCCCTGGGGGCGTGGCGTGGCGGGGCGTGGCGGGGCGTGGCGGGGCGTGGCTGGGCCCTGTCTCGTCCTCCTGGATGCCGCCCTGCAGCTGCAGACCCACGCCGGGCCAGGCAGGCCAGGCAGGCCAGGGCCACTCCAGTGAAGGGCACTCCACGGCCAAGACCACGGGCCGCGGCCGCGCGACCGCCACCCCCTCCTGGGCCCGCCCCTGTCCGCCCCGCCCTCCGCCTTGGCCGCTCCGCCTGGCCTGGCCGCCCGGCCGCCTTGGCCCTGGCCGGGTGGAAATGGGTCGCGCCGGGATTAGGTTTTTAAAGGCAGCAGCACACTAGTGCCACAGCACCTCCACTCCGAACGGCGCTCTGCCTCCCTCGCACCCTGCGGGACCCACGGCACGCCCCGCGGGTGCGAGAGAGACAGTGCGAGCACCCTCGTCGTCACCACGCGACGGCCGACGCGCACCCCGACCGTCGTCAATATCACTCGACACGATGTGTGTCAGCAGGCGGCGCGCAGAGGGCGGGGCGACGCACAGTGGGCCAGAAGACCGGTGGAGGCGGCCAAAATTCTAGACGCGTTTTAAGCTCCAGAGTCGCTAAATGGGACCCGAACCGAACGTGTGACCCCACCAATGGATTGCCCCCCGAAAGAGGAATCCATTGATGGGGTCACACGTTCGGTTTGAGTCCCATTTTAGCGACTCTGGAGCTCAAAACGCGTCTAGAGTTTTGGCCGCCCTCACCGGTCTTCTGGCCCACTGCGCGACGCGGGGCGACGCGGGGCGACGGGCCCTCGGCTTGGACGGCCGGCAGCGGGCTGCTGGGTGTCGGCACGGTGTCGGCACGGTGTCAGCACCGTGTCAGGGGTCGCTGACTTAATGGCCTTCTCGACCACTCGGCAGCGCCGCCAGCGCGCCTGCGCCCTCGTCCCGACAGCCCGCCCGCCTCGCCTGGCCTCGCCACTCCGGCCGCCGACGCCGTCCTTCAGGCTCGCCGTCGGACTTGCCGCGCTTGCCGCCAGGCGCCGAGAAATCCGCCGAACACGAAAAACCTGACGCGCGAGGTGGCGGTAGTGGTCGTGCCGTCTGACCCTGGCCGCCCAGCAGACTGATTCCGAGAGTCCTTTTCGTCGCTCTGTCTCTCTCGCACCTGCACGGCGCGCCCCATGAGTGCGAGAGAGACAGAGCGTCGAAAGCGACCCTCGGAATGAGTCTGCTGGCGTTGACGCGGCTCGCGAGGGGCGCATGGCCAGCGGCGTGGCACCGCACTGGGACGGACGCCGCCATGCCGGCCAGTGCGCAGTGCGCGCTGGTTTATGAAATCACCGCGGAGGTTTTTCCATAAATTATAGCGCCGCGGTGTCATCCCGCTGTCAGCGCGTCCGCGTCCCGCGAGCGCCGTTTGCCGCGCGCCCCGCAGTCTCTCTCGCACCCCCACGGAACGCCCCGTGAGTGCGAGAGAGACGGAGCGTGGAGGCACTGCGCGGAATCGCTGCGCTGGCGGTCGTACTGCGGGGGTAGGCGCGGCGCTCACGTTTTATTAACGCCGTGTCGCGTGGGCATGTGCTTTGGCGTCATCGAAAGGAAGGACTACACTTTCAGCCCCCCCCCAAAATTGGGAAGAAAAACCGCAAAATAATTTGAACAGTCGGATAATGAGACGAAATGAATATCCTTATTGGTATGATTATTGCAGGGCGGGGAGCAGCCGCGGCAGCAGCGCACAGTGGGCCAGAAGACCGGTGGAGGCGGTCGAAATCACGGACGCGTTTTGAGCTCCAGAGCTCGAACCGAACGTGTGACCCCACCAATGCATCGCTCTCCGAACGAGGAATTCACTGGTGGGGTCACACGTTCGGTTCGAGTCCTCTCCAGCGACTCTGGAGCTCAAAACGCGTCTAAAGTTTTGGCCGCCTCCACCGGTCTTCTGGCCCACTGTGCAGCGCGGCCGGCCCGTTCCAGAGTTCCCTTCCTTCCCTCACGGTTCCAGAGAGACGCGTCCGTCCTCTCCGGCAGTCCGTCCCTGGGTCGATGGAGCAGGATGGAGGCATGATGGAGGAGCACAAAGTTGAGGCCCTTAAATTCTTACTAATTGGTGAAGGTCGGAGGTAGTTGGGGGGAAACGCGAGCGAAGTGGTCGGCGGTGGAGGCGTGCTGGCGCATTGTAATTGTCTGTTTAATGTTTGCGGCTTTGAATCAAAAGTTTAATGCGAAATCTCCTTCAGCCACACAATCTTCCACAGTCTTTGGATGAAATGTGAAAGCTGCTTTATAATTTTGAATGGGAAAATTCGCATGGAAAGGAATGTGACAGACTTGGCAAATAAGTCATCCTATTGTAAGCATGAAACCAGACAGCTTCATTGCTTTCACGTTTCTTTCATTGCAACGAAGACAAGTCCTAATATTGTCGAGACAATCATGAAGAACGCTGGGTGCTGGGTGATGCAGGCTGAGTTCAGCTGGTACTCTAGCACCAGTTCTGGCAAAATTTGCGAACAAAAAGACTGCTTCTATGGTTTTAACACTTAAAGTAATGAAACCGAATGCTTCTAGCCTCCAAAGGAGAACGATGTGTGCTGATTACTTACACGATTTTCAGTGTTCAAAGTCACATTCAGACCACTGTGTATTCAAGTGTTGACAAACGAATGGTTTCCAACAAACAGATAACTCGGCAGCAGTTGTCATCGCACGATACAAGGCAAACAACGGCAATTTTGTGAAGATTCATTGCTAATCACAACAAAAACACGCGGCCATGTTTACAGCGTAGGTAGGTTAGGCAAAACAAAAGAAGGTTGGCGTGTCGATAAAACAGTGCGGCGTGCGTGCACAGGTGCAGACCAGTTATTCGCAGTTCGCAATTCAAACTGAAAAACGGACGTTCGTTACGTTGTGCCGCGCGCGCTAGACGACTCCAAATGTAACGGTGATTTTGTGTTGTGTGATAATGAACGTTGTCGAATCGTCTTTTGTGAACTCTTTATTGCTCAGTGGACTGCGTGTGGCTTGAACGCTGTGAAAGCGATGCGAGTGCCCAACTCAAGTGGGCCCCATCTGGAGGCAACACCGACAGGTTTCTTTCTTGGATTCCAGAGGAAGCATTCATCCTGCCCACAAATTTCTTCAGTGCTGTTGCTGTGGGCCTCAGGCTAGTGGATACACTGTATATTTAGTGGCGGGACTTCAGTCATTTTGCAGTAACAACTGGGTGTGAACAAAGTACTGGCTCTAAAATACAAACAAGAAAGATTCTCATATGAAAGCGAAGTTGGCTCATAATTTTTTTGTTTCCCCATTATGCACTGGTATTTTGTTTCTCCACCCTCAGGGAGGCGGATTTTCTGGTGAATGCTTTCCGCCTAATATGTGATTGTCTTGCCCAGTTTTGTTCTTATCGTCTCGACAAAAATGGTATTACATTTACATTGAAAGAAATGTGAAAGCTAGACGGCTGACCGGTGTCGCATTTAAAGTAATGTCACTGAATTTCAAAGCCTGCTTTCTATGCGAATTGTTCTATGTGATAGTACTTAGCAGTTTTCACGTTCAATGGAACTTTATGTCATACTCCTTCACTGGTAGCCGGAGCACAGAAAGTGAATCCTTTGGTGGCCCGACAATAGAAATTAAGTTTAGCCTAATTTGCGACTAAGTGCTTTTTAAAAGCTCGATTTTCTGCAAATATTTTCTTTTGCGCGCGAAAATAACAGGACGTGTTCCCGTGAGGCTGCTTGTTCTCAGTGGGTTAAGAGAAAGCGTCCGAGCCCTCGGCCCCCGTCGTGGTGCCGTGGTCCAGCGGACTGATTCCGCGAGTCGTCTTCGCCGCCCTGTCCCTCTCGCACCTATACGGGAAGCCTTGCGAGTGCGAGAGAGACAGGACGACGAAAACAACTCTCAGTCTGCAGAGGCGTCGGCATTTTTCTTCGCGAAGTGGCCGCTTTCTCTTGTGTTGCGGCGTTTCCTCTTGCCCCTGCTTCCCCGGCGATTAACGTGCTGCCCGTCGCTCTTTCTCTCTCGCACCGAAGGGGGCGCCCCACAAGTGCGACGGAGACAGTGTCGAAAACCACGGCCTGCCCGGGGCATGGGAGCGTGTCGTTGTGGCGTAGGAGTCCCTCCGAGTCCCTCCCCACCGCAGTCACAGTCGTGACCGTCGTGACCGCTGACTCCGCCCCTCATGCTGGCCGTCAGGTCGCCGCCCGGCCGCCGTGGACTCGGCGTGAGGGCCTCGGACCGGGGGACCGGGCTGCGGCCGAGGCCGTGGTCGAGGCCCTGGTTGGGGCCCTGGCCGAGGCACTGCCTGGTTGGGGCCCCGGCCCCGGCCCTGGCGCCGGCGAGGCCGAGGCCGCCGTGCTCGGCTAAGCGGATCTGCAGCTTGCCTGTGTTGCTGCAGCCCCGCCCAGTGTGCCCAGTGTGCCAGCTTGCACGGGGCTTTACCTCTGGCCGCCTTAGGCGTCCTCGGTCCTCAGCAGACTGACAGCACTGGCGGTCGCTCTCGTCGCTCCGTCTCTCTCGCACCCGCGGGCGGCGCGCCATGAGTGCCATGAGTGCGAGAGAGACAGGCACTCACCACAGGAAGAAGGGCAGCCAGCAGGCGAGGAAGGCGGACATGATGATCCCCAGCGTCCTGGCGGCCTTCCGCTCGCGCTTCATCTTGCTGGACGCGAGCGGCTGGATCTCGGGGTCGCTGACGGCCACGCCGCAGCCCACGTCGCCCAGCGTGCCCGGCAGCGACGTGAGCCCCGCCGTGATGCCGTTGATCTGCAGGTGCTTGTTGAGCAGCGCCGCCGCCACCTTGCTCCTGCAACCACAAGGACGGGGTTTCGTTAGTGTCGGGGGCGGTGCTGGCGAGGTCGCCCCGTCACGCCTTGGACATCGCCCGGGCGACGTTGGTGCTGGAGCCGCCCCTGCACCCCCCCGTATGGACAGGTCGTTCGTAACAATTTCTGTCTCGACCTGAAGCGGGCAGCACAGGGCTGGCCCGGCTGGCCCTGGCGGAGTGGGGCGGCCAGGTGTATAGTGTCGGCGCTACTACTTGGCGTCCCCGGGGATGGCGGCGGCCCGGGCGGCCCGGGCCCTGTAGGGCGTCCCGGCCCAGGCCGAGGCCCGGGCCCAGGCCCAGGCCCCAGCAGCCCCTTCCCCTCCCTAAAACGCCGCGTATCCCTCACGCGGACTCGAGGCGAGGCGAGGTGAAGCGAGTGGGTCGAGGTCGAGGCGCCCCCTCTACCGCCCCGGCGACCTCCACGGCCACGGCCGCTGCAGGAGGAAGGCGTACTCCTTGTCGTGACACGGGAGAATCACGCCCCTCTGCAGCTGGAAAGCTTGGGCCGGCCTGGGCCGGCCTGGGCCCCGCCCGCCCCGCCAGCACCACCTGGAGGGCGTATTCTTGTCACGCGTCTTCTATCACTATTCTCGGAGGGGCGGCGGGTAAGGAGGGCGCAGCGAGGCGCGCCGGGGGGACGAACGGCCATTGTGCATCGCGCGGCCCGGTCACCGCGCCCCGCCCCGCCCCGCCCCGCCCCGCCCCGCAGCGGCGCGGTGTACCGGTCGGTAATTGAATCGCACCCTCCTTTGCCGGACGCAGGATTGACCGAGGTGGTCTTATGGTGTCCGCTGGTGGCCGTTCGGACAGGGGGACGCGCGCCAACTCGGAAATTGAACGCCCCACGCGAGACAGCCGCTGCGCGGTGCGGCGCGGTGCGCGGCCCCTAACGTAAGACGGCCGACGGCACACAGTGTAAGTGCGTCAGGGTGCGCGGCAACGCGTTGACACAGAGACGATTACCCCTACGCGAGCACGCTGCACGCCCCGCCCCCAGTGTGTCTACGTCACGGCGTGGGACGGCGTGGTGCGCACACGCGTGTGACGCCGTGCCACGCCGTGCCACGCCGTGCCACGCCGCCTCACGGTTGACAGGCGGTTTTCGTCGGCGGCTGCGAGGAGCCGAGCCGGGGCCTGACGGGTAAATCTGGGGCCCGGGGCCGGGGGCCGGCCTTAGTGCCTAATGAGCTTAGTGCCAACTGAGGCTGCGGGTCCCTTGGCCGGCCTCGCCTGGCGGCCTGGCCTCGCCTCCTCGGCGGGGCGGGGCGGGGCGGGGCGGGGCGGGGCGGGGCGGGGCGGGGCCGAGGTGTCGGCGTGCGTGCGGTGGCAGCGTGCCGCGAGATACCGCGCTGATCTGCGAAGAAGCTGCGCGGAAATGCGATAAGGAAAAAGTTGAGCCGCCGACGAGGAGAGAGAGAGAGAGAGAGAGAGAGAGAGAGAGAGAGAGAGAGGGGGAGAGAGAGAGAGGGCTGTGCTCTGTGAAGGGGAATAGGGGGGCGATGAAGGCAGGCTAACTCACACATCGGCCGCGAGCGCGCGCTCAGACACACGCGCGCGGAAAGTAGCAAAGCAAAGACAGTGTCCCCCAAGTTGGATGAGGTGACGGCCTGACGGCCCCGGGGAGCCCGATAACGCGTTCCTCACTGCAGCCTCTCGCTCGAAACACGTTGAAATAGGGCTCGGGGAATTTCGGGTGCTGTCCGCCTGCCTCTGAATAGCACTCGACTCGACCGAGGGCTGGGACCTTCGCTCGCTGGCGGCGCTGGGGCTGCCGCCGTGTCCCGCCGTCCATCCACGGCGTCCTGGCCCCGTCCGTCCCGGTCCGTCCCGGCCGCCTCCATGACGACCCTACTTCCGGATCCTGTTTCCTTTGCGAGGGCGACTACTAAGTGGGTGGGGGTGGGGGTGGGAGGTGGCACTGGACGTGTGACACCCTAGAGCACGTTCGCCTGGCGCTTCGCCCTCCGTGAGGCCGTCTGGCCGTCATGCCGCGCAAGCATGGCGAGGCATGGTGCAAGTACACATGCCAACACTTTTGAATAATGTTCGCGGTCCGCTGGAGCAGACGTGGGGGAGGGGTGGGGGTGGAAGGGGGTTGAAAAAGGGGGGGCACCCCGTCGGCTGGCGCTCGCTGGCGCTCAGGACGTCCGCGCGTTTTCCAGTCCATCAAAGACGAGGGGCGAAAGCCGTTGCAACGAGCACGACGTCGGCTCAGGACAGTCCGATTCTTTGTTTTTGTTTTCATCTGTCTTTTTTTTTCTGTCTTATCTTTTTACGGCCTTTCTTTTCTCTGCTCTCTCTGTCTCTCGCTCGCCGATGGGCGCGACGATCGCGCTGCAGAGTGAAAGGGACCGCGCGAGGCGGCGCGAGGCGGGGGGTTGATTTCTCATCCGGATCGGACGCGAGCGAGCAAACAGGCTGCCGAAAATGAAGGGACCGGCACTGGGAAAAAAGGGGGGGGGGGACGCGGCGACGACGCCTAGGTGAGGGGAAAGAGGGGGAGCGGTGCAGATATATCTCTCGGACGAGTGTTTCTTTTGTACCGAGCACATCTCATCCGAGAAATATGAGAGCGGACTATGAGAAAAAGCGTGGGCGGCGGGAAAACAAAGAGGGATGAAAAGAAGATAAAAAAGGAGAGAGAAGGAAAGTTTGGCGAGACAAGGGTGGGGTGGGCGTGACGTGTGCGTGGGGCGTCGGCGCGGATTTCTTAAGGCTCGCTGTTTGCGCGTGCTGTGCCTCGTGCCGCGTGCCGTGCCGCGTGCCTGGATCCAGGGGGGGGGGGGTGAATCCGTGTCCGAATCCGCCCTAGGTGGCGCCCGAATGCGCTAGCCAGCTAAACGCCACCGTTTGCTATGATAAAGAGCCTCGGGCCGAGTCCGGCCGCCCTGCGAATCAATATCGGCCACAGTTTCAGGCGGCGCTGATTGAATGTAAACCGGGCGGGCGACGCCACGCGACGCGGTGCTTGTCGCGGTCCAGGGCCGCCAGCGCGCCCTGCGGGTTGATCCCGAACAGAGCTCTGTCTCTCTCGCACTCACGGCCGGCGTCCCGGAGGGAGAGAGAGAGAGGTAGTCGGAATCGGCCAGCTGCCGATGGAGTGATGGAGCCCCCGCCCCCGGCACCGCCCCCGGCACCGCGCGGCGGCGAAGTTTGGCGGCGGAAAAATGTGGAGGCGTTGCGAGCGGAGGGAGGGAGCACTCTCGCTATTCGCGCTGCAGGCTGCAGGTGTTTTCTCTGTCGCTCTCATCGGGCGGCCCGTGTAGGTGCGAGGGAGACAGACCGACGAGACCTCGCAATCAGGCTGCCGGCGCTGCTCGTCGCTGCCTGCGACGAATTAGGGAAGGCCGAACAGGGAGCCCTGCTGGGGAACCTGTGGGAACCCTCGGGGAGCTCTCCCTGCCGCGACGCGACGCCCTAATGGATGGGCGTGAAAGTACTGCTTAGCCGCGTGCCGCGTCAAGTTGCCGCAAGTTGGTGCAATGATTAATCACCGCCACTCTCGCCGGGCGCTGCGCGTGGCGGTCGACGCCGTGGTGGTGGCGGTCGACGCCGTGGCGGTGGCGGTCGACGCCGTGGTGGTGGCGGTCGACGCCGTGGTGGCGGTTGTTACCCAAGGCTGCCGTGTGTTCCCTTGCTGTCGGCGCCTTGTCGCTCGCCGACAGCACGTCGTCGACGTACTGGGGACCAGGACCTCGCACTTCTCGTCGACGGCGGGGAGCTGGCGCGCGGCGATGCTCCACCGCGGGGTCCACTTGTTACGCCGCCGCCTTCCGACCACCGCGTGAGAGGGAGAGAGAGATAGGGGCGGAGGAACTTTGGAGCGCTCCTGGCCCCCTCGGTGCCCCTCGAGATCGTGATGCACGACGGGCAACGTTGAAACGGCCTCAGCGTCGGCCATCGGCCATCGGTTTTGGCGGCGGCCCAAAACAAGTGCAATAGCGCGCTCGCTTTGCCTGGCTTTGCCGCTCTGCCGGGCCAATAATAGTCTCGCCCACTGACAGACTCGCCGCGGGTGCAATTATACCGCGCCATCGCGTTGCCTTGCCCCGTTTTCCGGCCGTCGCGCCGCCACACTGTGGGCCGGAAGACCGGTGGAGGCGGCCCAAATTCCAGACGCGTTTTGAGCTCCAGAGTCGCCAAACAGGTCTCGAACCGAACGAGTGACCCCACCAATGGATTCCTCGTTCGGAGAGCAATCCATTGGTGGGGCCACACGTTCGGTCCGAGTCCCATTTAGCGACTCTGGAGCTCAGAACGCGTCTAGAATTTGGGCCGCCTCCGGACGTGTGGCCCACTGTGCGCCACCGCGAACACGCCACTGTATATCTCGACTCGCGGTGAATATTCGTCGGCGTCGCGGGGCTCTAGTGCCGCCCAATGAATGACCCCCAAAGCGCGTTTCAATTAAGGCTGCAGATTGCGGCTCTATTTTTAGTTCGGTTTTATCTAACGTCCCCGTCGGGAGTCCGCCCCGCCCCGCCCCGCCCCGCCCCGCCCCGCCCCGCTGCTTCGGCGCCGCTTTTTCCTTTTTGGGAGTCGTTTGTGTGTCGCGCTGCGCCGCTGCGCTGCTGGTTAATAGTAATGGCGCCGCCACTCCCCGCGCCATTTACACGCTGACGGCCGGCGGGCCTAGCCTGCCGCCTGTCTCTCTCGCTCCCGCGCCGCAGAGCGACCAAAGTTGGAAACCGGCCGGCAGGTGGCCGAGCGACGGGGCAGGGTAGGTCGGCGTCCTGGACAGTGGACGGTTGACGCCACGGGGGCCCTCTTGACCTCCTTGCAGTGCGTCGCCGTCACGCGATCGACCTGCCCCGCGGAGGAGGCCCAGCAAGGGCCGACGGGCAGGTCCAGCCCGCCAGGGTAGCGACGTGCTGCGGCGCCGTGTGTGCCGGCCGTGCCTACACTGCCATTGCTGCCCGCCAGGGGCAGCACAAGAAGCGGTGCCGGTAGAAAAATGCTCTCGGATGGAAGAAATGCTC